CATCGTCGAGTGCCGGGTGAGTGTGGCCAATTGGGTGGGTGTGGCCAATTGAGTGGACATGGCTGCGGTGGTAACGGCAGACTGGGTGGGACTAAAAAGTTCAATCAATCAATTCCAACTTTGCAAGATCTTTTTTTTTCCTGTGAGAAGTTGAAATTGACTGATTGATTGAACCTTTTTTTTTTCTTTTGCACATGGCGGCAGAGGCCTAAAGCAAAAAAGTTTTATAAAACCCAGCTGAAGGCCTAGCACTGGGGCGACGGCGCGCGTGCCCACAGAGAGGGCTCTGAGTGCCGCCTCTGGCACCCGTGCCATAGGTTCGCCACCACTGAGATAGGGCATTCTGTGTAAAGTTAGATCTGTTACCAGATTTTTTTTGTTTTTAAATGGTGCCAAACTGAAATCTAATTTGAAGCAAAAACCTGCTCCAGTTCTGTATTTTTAATGGACCAGCACCACCTGTTGGTCAGCCAAGAACATTACAAGTATTTTAGTACATTTGATGCCATCCGTTTTTTAAAAACCAAATTTTGTTGCTCTCTTGCAAATTTTGTTGCTCTTTCCCTTTATCGCCAAAAAGGGAAAGGAAACCACATGCCTGTAGGCTATCAGGAGATTGCCAGAGTGCTAGTATTATTACTTTTTTACTCACAGAAGGGCAGGATAAAAAAAAATAGCAAAAACAATAGGCCCCTCTGGCTAATGGATTCGGTCTCCAAGTTTAGTCAATTTCTACACTGTACACCTTTTCTGCAATTATGGCCCACCCAAATCGGACCACTATAAAATGGACAACTCTTATAAAAGTTGCATCCCTTCCAGAAATTGCTAACCAGTTGCTTTTTTTTAAGTTTTCACACGACAAAATAATGCGTGACTGGAATGTAACCATGTCGTCCATATTTTAGGCATGCATACAATCGCGTCAAAATTGGTTGTCTTTTCCCCAGCATTTTGAGAGTAGGGTTCTCAGTTAAGAAAAAAATGGGCAGAGCACCAACACTTTGTACAAAATCAGTAGAAAGTAGAACGCACAACAGCCTGGTTAGCAAACCGCAACAGAAATGCTGGAAAAGAAGACTATTAGAATTTATTGATGGGAGTTAAACTAAGGCAGGGGTAAGCAACCTTGGCTCTTTTATGACTCGTGGACTTCAACTCCCAGAATTCCTGAGCCAGCATGGCTCAGCTTGGAAACCTCTCCCTTTCCCCTCAGCGTGGCTGGCTCAGGAATTCTGGGAGTTGAAGTCCACAAGTCATAAAAGAGCCAAGGTTGCCTACCCCTGAATTAAGTATACCAAGTTGGGATATAGAGGATATTTCAAACTCAAAACTTTGCAAAAGGTAGTCACTGCAAGAGGGCTTTTTCCTAGTGTTCCTGTTTTAGAAAAAGACCTCAAAGAAACTTTGACTGGTGAGAATTCTATTATAAGGTTGGAACAGAGCATTTGAATTTTTAAGATTCAGACACAACCCAGCCATTACTGATAAGAGTATTTGTAGCTCAGGGTTGAACTGTGGGGTTCTTGGTGCTGTCTGGCCTTGTTGGCTTTCTTGCAGATGTTTCATTACCAAACTAGGTAACATCATCAATGTTGGCACTGATGATATTACCTAGTTTGGTAATGAAACGTTCGCAAGACAAGCTCAAAGCTCAGAGATCCACCAAGGACCCCACAGCCATTTTGAGGGTGCTCCCTTGTTTCAAACTTGGAGCAGGAACATGTTTCTCATTTCATCTCCAATTACCAATAAAGACAACACACACTGCATCACATAAGGGGCACATACCTTGGGCTCTTTTATGACTGGTGGACTTCAACTCCCAGAATTCCTGAGCCAGCCATGCTGAGGGGAAAGGGAGTTTCCAAGCTGAGCCATGCTGGCTGAGGAATTCTGGGAGTTGAAGTCCACGAGTCATAAAAGACCCAAGGTTGCCTACCCCTGCCTTAGGGCATCTTTGCTCAGTGGATCAAGTTTCTCCTCAGCAGGGATTTTGAGATGGGAAAATCTATTACATCCAAACGTTAGGTCTGTAAATGGTTAATTTGGCCATTTTGGAGAGTTGGTTGGTAAAATAAAAAGTGGTGAACAAAAAAATAAATAAAAATCACATGCCTTAAAACAGAAAATAGATGCCATGAATGATAAAACGTTGTTGAAACATTTATTTATATATATATATTTCACAAAATTTTTCACAAAAAAGTATTGAAACTCAAAAAAGGAATTAGATTTGAATTGAATACAGAGATGAAGTGTACAAGATTAATGAGCAGGCAAAAATTAAAAGGTACTGAAAGTGATATTTTTTTTTAAACTTCGGATTGAAAAAAAGACGAACAGTTCAACTGTTCGGTTTAAATAAAAGATTTGCTAGATATACATGTGTTTCATGAATACCAATGCTGGTTAGTTGAGGCAAGTAAAATTCCTCAATTTTTTTCCTTCATGCTTTTTTCTTCTTCTTCTTCTTGTTAGAAAGATACTGTTTACAAAATGAAACTTGAGCAGTCCAGGAAAAGCTATTTTTCCATTAAAATTTATGAAAACCATAAATTGAGACAAACCTAAGATTCCCAATGGAATCAAGATTAACTTCCTGCTACCACCACATTAAAATAATCACATGCTTATTGGAACACCAATCTCTGCAACCTGACAGGATACTTGTTTCCAACAAAGAGGGTGATTTTTCTGAAAAACTGAATAAAAACCTTTAGTCTGGTGCAGTAATACAGACTGGTGTATTACATTTGTAACAGCATTTTTAAAATGGCAGCAAATAATAATACTGGATTAAAATAATTTAGAATTTTGTTCCCAAAACAGAGTAAGGGTAGGCCTACAGTTATAAAACATATTTTTAACTCCAAATAAAATACTCTGATAATGCATAATGTGAATCCTTGTAACAAATTCTAGTTAACGAAAGGCATTTGGATTTTTAAAAAAATGATTGGAACAAAACATCACTAATAACTCTGTAAAGTTAACACTTTTTAAAAAAAAATTAAAAAAATGCCTCAGGTTTTAGACGATTATGATATTTGAATTTTGTCTTCCCCTCCCCTTTCTTCTTTGTTTTGAAGTCAAAATGCTTTATCATCTAGCATTATTTTATTAATTTTTCAGTCATGACAGTATTTGGTCGTGTTGCATTATTATAGTTATTATTCACTTAAAAAGCCTCTTGCACGCTACCGGTGCCAAGTTGGTCTGCAATTTACAAAAGAAACATCTAAAAGTCAGTATTTCTCTTCAAAAAAAGGTTTGTCTTCATTCTCTGCATACACCCAATAATCTTACATTCGGAATAACACGCTTTCCTCTTTAAAGAAAATAAAATAAAAAGTTACAGTAAACGTCACTTTTACATTCTATCCATTAAAGTGCTCCTTTGTCTGGGTTTTTTTTTGTTTTGTTTTGTTTTTTCAGATAAAGCAAGTGACTGCAATTCAACCCCATCCATTCTGCATTCACAGCACGAATTTCAATTCTGTCTTAAAATCCAAGGCCTGGCTGAGCTAGGAAACCATCTTAGGAGGCGGGAGAATTTCAGGAAGAATAAACACGGCTTGGCGCTTCTTTAGACAGCATTATCGATGCCGTCCCGTTATTGAAGACTTTTTAATTCTCTCTTAAGGGTGGATTAAAAAGTCTCTGAAAAGGGAATGAGGTAACATTCAGGTTTTTCTTAAAGAGAAAAGAACACAACAATTCAACCATTTGCATTAACAATTCTCCTTACTTTTTTTTTTTTAAAGGAAGAGCTATAAAGCTGCAAGAGAAGGGAATTTTTTCTTTTAAAAAAAATAATAAATCCAGGATAAAAGCATGCAAAAAAAAAAAAACAGCATTGGAATTACACTATCCTTCCCCAATCTGGTGCTTTTCAAAAAAATGTTGATTTACAACTCTCATTGCTCTCAGCCAGCATAAGTGTAATGAAAATTGCAGCCCCAAGGCATGTGGAAACACACCAGATGGATTTTACAAGGAAGACTTGAAAATACAGACATCAACACGTTCGTTTTTTCCTTAATGCAGCAACACATACCCCTTCCTTTAATAAAGTAACTTGGTTTCCTACTTTGAAAGCAAACAATCAATGATTTCCCATTAAATCTAACCTGGAATATCCCATCGCCTGAGTGATGATGGCACTTTTTAAAAAAAGAGTTTGTGAAAAGTTTGGGTTTTTTGTTTTCCTTCCCCAGAGTGGAATACAAGATCAGAGTTGACAACAGAATGTATTTGTATATTTTATAAACAAGCATTTGCCCTGGCATCAATCTTTTTTTTTTCTTTTTCCTTCAGAGAACCAACTTGTGCCCACAGGTCAATGTGCTATTAAATTATTTCAATGCTAAAAGGAAAAGCATCACAACGATGAGCTATGTCATTCACTACATTTGTCCGTTGTTCAGATGACAATTCAGCTTTCGGTTCTTTTGTTGATGTTGTTTTCAACTAAATGAATCATTGGGGGGGGGGGAGAGGGAGAAAAAGGAAAAGAAATTTTTCTACAATTTAAACGGTAATGTTATGTAAAAAGTATTAACAAATCCACTATTACAAATGTCAAATTTGCTATATGGTCATCTATACATACACAATAAAATGGCAAATGTTTGCAAAAATAATTTTAAAATTATCACGTGAGAATTTACTCTTTTTGAAGTTTGGGTTGCCCTCAAATTACGTATTCCCCCGGGTGTTTTTTTTTTTCTTTTTTTAAAAAATCCTTTGTTTTATTTCAGTTAATTACCAAACCTTTAAATACACTGTAATCTACCCCTAGAAGTCAGCTCCGAAGCTGACGGGATATAATTATTTTACATTCAAGCTTTTTATATCTAAACAACCCTGTTGTAGCATATGACTTATTGGATAAGCAGCCTTCTCCTCTTCCTCCTCCTCCTCCCTCCCACCCATGTTTTATTTTTTATTTTATTTTATTTTATTTTTTTTGTTTTGTTTTGTTTTTTTTGCAGTTATTCAGTCTTCATGATCGGTTTTTCGTGGCGAGCTGGAAACAAAAAACAAAAAAACTAAAATGCGTTGCTAATCAACGTTCCAACAGTCTTGAGACTCCAGACGGGACCTTGGAAGCCATTTTGTCCAAGTTCTTCTCGTAGCATGAGAGCATTGCACACAGGGGAACAAGTCCAACCGTCAAGAGAGGAAAACTATCTACATAAGTCTGAAAGCACAGCGTCCCTCTTGTGTTTCCTTTTTTTCCCGTGGTAAAATTGTTGTGGCTTAGTGCCCTGGTACTGTTTGTTCGTCACCAAGGTACCGTGGCTGGAATTTCCTGGACCTTGGAGGCTTTTGTTGGAAGAAGTGCGGAAGAGCCTCATGGACCCGTGCTGTGGGATAGAAGAGAGGAGAGAAAGGAAAGGTGAAGACCAGCAGCTGTTCCACAACAAGAGTATAAAATAATGTAAGGGAGCCGGTTGGATCTAGTGGTGAAGGCATTAGCTAGAAACTGGGAGACGGTGAGTTCTAGTCCTGCCTTAGGCATGAAAAGCTGGTTGGTTGACTTTGGGCCTATCACCAGGAGACTGGGAATTCTAGTCCTGCCTTAGGCATGAAAGCTGGCTGGTTGACTTTGGGCCAATCACCAGGAGATTGGGAGTTCTAGTCCCATTTTAGGCATGAAAGCTGACTGGGTGACTTTGGACTAATTGCCAGGAGACGGTGAGTTCTAATCCTGCCTTAGGCATGAAAGCTGGCTGGTTGACTTTGGGCCAATCACCAGGAGATTGGGAGTTCTAGTCCCATTTTAGGCATGAAAGCTGACTGGGTGACTTTGGACCAATTGCCAGGAGACGGTGAGTTCTAATCCTGCCTTAGGCATGAAAGCTGGCTGGTTGACTTTGGGCCAATCACCAGGAGACTGGGAGTTCTAGTCCCATTTTAGGCATGAAAGCTGACTGGGTGACTTTGGACCAATTGCCAGGAGACGGTGAGTTCTAGTCCTGCCTTAGGCATGAAAGCTGGCTGGTTGACTTTGGGCCAATCACCAGGAGACTGGGAGTTCTAGTCCCATTTTAGGTGTGAAAGCTGGCTGGATGACTTTGACCAATCACCAGGAGCTCCAGTCCTGCCTTAGGCATGAAAGCTGGCTGGTTGATTCAGGGCCAATCACCAGGAGACTGGGAATTCTAGTCCCATTTTAGGCGTGAAAGGTGACTGGGTGACTTTGGACCAATCGCCAGGAGACGGTGAGTTCTAGTCCTGCCTTCGGCATGAAAGCTGGCTGGGAGACAACCGCTCTCTTTCAGCCCAACGGACTTACTTAATTAAATGTCTATGCTGCCCATTTCCCTCTGCAAAGTGACTTTTATCTTTACAAGGCTGTCTTGGGGAGGAGGAAGGAGTACTGGGTATGTTCACCACCTTGAGATGCTTATAAAGTAAGAAAGGCGGGATTAAAAAGAAATCTAATCAAATGAATTTACGTTAAAAGAGTGACATGACCAACGCTCAGTCCTGCATTTCTACTTATTGGCAAGGGCATGGCCGTTATTCCCAGACTGTGTTTAAGCTCAATATTCTGCCTCTGTCTCTGCCCTTAACCTATTTCTAGGGCGAGGAGAGAATCACAGCCCCGCGTGGGCGTCAGACATTTTGAGGGGAACCGAGATTGAGCTCAGGGCCATACCGACCTGGGACTTATTTGTCACATTGGATGCGTTCACGGTTTGGCCATTTGGCATTCTGCCGCTCAGCTGAGAGGACCCGAGGGAGATCTCCTGAGATGCTAGTCTGTTTGCCGAAGTCTGGCAGGAGCCCAGCTGTTTTGAGGTTTTGCACGGGGTGCCGTCCGACTCCTGTGGAGAAAGGAGCGGAAGGATGACTCCGCCCGTTTCAGCACCTTCAAAAACTACATGCAAATACGAGAATTCTGTCGAAATACAGGTGGGCCCTTGACTTGTGACTTTAGTGGAATTTCCTGCAGTTTCCATCGTTAAGTCACGACAGTCGTAAGTTGAAGCACTCAAGTGAATTTGCCTGATTTTACTCTCTTTTTTTTTGCGGCGGTCATGAAGCAAATCAATATATCAATGTAAATCACATCACGTTGACTATGGAAGGCTGTGACCAGAAATACAGGTGAGGTGGTTGCCAAGTATCCAACATGTGGACATGTAACTATTGTGTGTCGCTCTGTATGTGTTTTGTGCAACCCCTGGAACTCCAGAAGTGGATCATAAGTAACTCTTGGGGGAAACTCTGAATGATCACTAAGGGGCCAGTCACTAAGTGAGGACTATCTTTAAGTGGCTGGATACGTTCTCCCTTCTGTTCTGACAGACCAACTTTATAGCCCAGGATTGCTTCTAAATTATATTTTATAATCTTCATATCTTCACTACTACACTAGAGATCTGCATGGCTAAACAATGCGACAGGGTTTTCTGGATAGAATTCCAAAATTTGCAGCCCTGTGAAGGGCGGGTTCTGGATTGCTTTTTCCTCATCTGCTCAGGATTCACTAAGGAGGTCTTGTGTTTTATTTTAAGCAGATAATAATAATAATAATAATAATAATAATAATAATAATAATAATAATAATAATAATAATACAGTTGGAAGGAACCTTGGAGGTCATCTAGTCCAACCCCCTGCTCAGGCAGGAAACCCTATACCAGTTCGGACAAATGGCTGTCCAGTCTCTTCTTAAAAACTTCCAGTGTTGGAGCATTCACAACTTCTGGAGGCAGGTTGTTCCACTGGTTAATTGTTCTCACTGTCAGGAAATTCCTCCTTAGTTCCAGGTTGCTTCTCTCCTTGATTAGTTTCCATCCGTTGTTTCTTGCCCTGCCTTCAGGAAATGTTTTGGAGAATAGCTTCACTCCCTCTTCTTGGGGCAGCCCCTCAAATATTGAAACACTGCTATTATGTCACCCCTGGTCCTTCTTTTCTTTAGACTAGCCTTATTTGCTTGTATGCAAGGGTGAAAAGGCTAATTCTTATATCAGTGGGTTAAGCTGAGGTATGACTTTGAAATCTGCTATATTTTTTCAGCTCTAATGAATGCCTGGCTTTTTTAGAAGTGGCAGGAAGGATATATGTTTAATTTGTACCATATATATTCCATTGCACGGAAAATTATGTGTAGGAAACCAACACCCTGCTATCATGTCACTCCTAGTCCTTCTCTTCATTAAACTAGACATACCCAATGTTTCTCAACCTGGGGCAATTCTTAAGACATGTGGACTTCAAATCCCAGAATTCCTCAGCCGGAGTGCTGGGAGTCGAAGTCTTAAAAGTTGCAAGTCTGAGAATCTTTGTTCTCAGGCTTTTAGAAGCAACAGTGTGGGTAATTCGATCTGAATTTGATCAGGACGTGATACTTACTACGTCGCTGGAGCTGGAGAGGGTGGATGAGGATGATGAGAAGGGACCTGATGAAGAATTTGATGAATGTTTGCTTGGGGTCTCTGAAGTTTTACTTCTCAGTTTTCCTAGGGACTGGTTCTCTTCGGAAAGGTTGTTGTTATATTTGTCCAGCTGTTGATTATCCACTATTAATGCCACTCCATTACCTGGTACCAAAGAGGAGAGGAGAATAAGCACCGTTTCACAATAAAGGAGCTTTGTTATCATGATAAAATGACTTTGGGAAATGAGGTTATTTCTGCAGCCCAGAAATAACACCATGTCCCCAGATATTGTTGGGTTAGAATTATAGTAATCCTTGATTTACAACCATTTATTTAGCGGCTGTTCAAAGTTACAAAGAGGCTGTGGAAATAAAAAAAGAGACTTGTGACAGGGTCTTCACACTTACGACTGCTGCAAAGTCCCTGTGGCCCCATCACTGTGATCCAGGCCCTCGGCAACTGTCATACGTTTGTGAAGGTCCCAGCATCCCGCGGTCACGTGATCAACATTTGCAACTTTCCCAGCCAGCTTCCAGCAAAGTGGCAGGCAAATTGCAGTCACATGATGTCTCACTTAATAGCCGGTGATTCACTTAATGTCCACAGTGAAATCAGTCATAAAATTGGGTATGGTCATAGGATTTCTCACTTAGCAACCACAACACAATTTTCTGGTCCCTATTGTGGCATAAGTCAAGGACTACCAATATTACTATTTCCTTAGAAGTGATTTTCCAATAAATCAAATAAATATTTCTCAAAGAGTCACAGGAAGGTACCCAGATACTGGATCTAGTTTACCTTGATTCTTTTTTGCCATTTCCCTTCCCCACTCCATGCTGTATTAATTACACAACAAATCTGGCGACAATATGAACGGAGGTAAGGAAAGCCAATGGAAAAGTTTAAATTACTGGAAAAACTTGAAAGCAGGCAAGGTACAAGAGAAATAATTCAGAATGTGTTAATTATTATTTTTTTTTTTAAGTTTCCAGAGGGGAAAAAAATGATGGCCTATTTAAAGCAAAACTTTTTTCAGTTCTCCGAAGAATTTGCAGAAATTTCTGTTCAGCGCCATTTAAGGAATTCCCGCTAGGCAAGTGGAACAGAAATGAAGTTTTTAGGAAATGAATTTGTCCACTCAACGTAAAGAGGGTGTTTCGCAAAGTCAGCTTAACGAGGATGTTTTGTAACAGTCTAAGAATGGCCAGACTCTGCTGAAAGTTATTTGCCTTGATGTGTGCTGTTTAAATCAGCAACTCTTCTCCATAAATATCTCCATAAATATTCAGCTATGCGGAAAGGTATCTGTGTTTCTCCGGTTAATGAAAAATTATCTTTGAACTTTGTAATTCTTCTTTCCTCCTACGTGAAGAATTAGCCTTCTGGTCAAACCTATAAACCTAGCCTGCAAACATCTGGCTTTTCTTTATTGGTGCTTTGTTTACTCAGAAGTACTCTATCATATCTAAATGGCTGTCATAAATTATTTCAAACTGTGATTTTCTGGATCCATGAATTCTAAGGAATTGACATCACTGTTCTTCCATCCAAATATATATTTCCAGCCCAACAGAGTCCGATAGAGTGTAACTTTTTTTTTTAAATCTTCCTTTGGAGGAAAACAATGCTAAAGCTTAATAAAAAAAATAGTTTCTTGAGTTTATTTTCATGTAGTGAAAGCATTGCATGAGAAGTGGCTTGTGCAGTGATGAATGGAGCTATTTCCAAATAGGCCCATAAATTCAATTTTAATGCTTTATTGCTTGAGCCATTCGGGATCCAGCTGTTTTCTCAATCTACTGCTCTCTCCATGCCAATCCCGCTTAATGCTGGTTAGAATATTTGGAATAACTTAGCAATAGGCCAATGGCTTCTGATTCCTCTTTTATTATTACAGAATTATTTTACTACTTGTCAGCATAAGGTTACTGCCAGGCAAACCTTTTTGCAGATTTAGCTGTTGTTATTCTATGGTTCTTTATGTTGATCAGTAGCTGGTTTTAAAAATCAAAACCTTTTAATTGCAGACTCAATTAAATACCTGAAAGTCTATTTTCCAGATTTTATTACCTGTTCTCGACTTACAACTGGTTGCTCAGCAAACATTTGAGTTCCAATTGACCTATGTGACTTCAAATGTTCGCTAAGCAACCAGGTGTAAGTCAAGGACTAACTCTACTAATCCCAGATTTGAAGTTCTGACAGTTGAGCTATCCCGTCACCGTACTTAGGGTGCCCGGCAACCCCAGGCCCATTTATGGCCATCTGCAGGATCCCACAGTCATGGGAACATGTTTTTGCAATGGTTTTGCCAAAAAAACCCCAGGTATTTCTGGGTTTTTTTTTTGGCAAAACTGGTCCCTAGCGAACCATGGGTTTGCTTAGCAACCGTTGTGCCATTGTGGGTCACTTATGTGACCAACCTGCTTTACAACCGTCATAGGCAAGCTGCGTTAGTCGTATCTCAAGGACTCTTTGTATCCTTGCAATATTGCTGCGCGGACTTCTAAAGTCTCTTACCATTGCATGACGTCTCGACGTTATTCTGTATCCCCCACTGCTTGGATATCCACTCTCTGTAGGTCACCACTTCCTGCGTAACTCGGATAATTCTTCCTAATATGCTGCAACATTTAAAGACAAAATTTATATATATATATATATAAATACACACACATACAGATTACTGGATTGGAAGGTGGGGGAAAAAGAAAGAGATCAGTAACGCCTCTGGCTGAAACACCAAATGTTTGTTTACCTTTCGCTTTCGTTATTGGGATAACATTTAGCTATCGGTGAGACTGCATGGCTCAGAACGACGTAGGCATAATCGAAGGCCTGCTTAACTTGCATGGCGCCATACGAACTTCTTCCAACATCATTGCCTTTTTTTTTTTTAAAGAGCAATAGAAAAAAACAGCAGTTAGGAAAAAAGTAGTCAGAAGTTAGAAACGGGGGAAAAAAAATCCTATTATAACCATCCTAAGTATGTTTATTTCTTAGCCTTGTTCAGAAGCCTTTAACCAGGGGTCTTCAAACTGGGCTCTTTTATGACTTGCAGACTTCAACTCCCAGAATTCTTTAGCTAGGCCCTAGCTAAAGAATTCTGGGAGTTGAAGTCCGCAAGTCATAAAAGGGCCAAATTTGAAGACCCCCGCCTTTAACCATTTCTGCTATTCTTCCAAATTAGAAACAAAGCTACAGTCATATGGCTATAGTTGCAGCTAGTCCTTGACATGACATAATGGAGCCTGCCCGTTATGATCCCATGTTGTGACAGTTGTTAAAATGGGTCCGTCACATGATCATTTTATAGTTGCCAAAAAGACTCCCCTAGAAGTTGCTGGCAGCAACTCCCAGCATCCTGGGCCACTGGTGATGTGTTCTGTAGCCAATCACCATCTGGGGATCCACCCGGGAAGGGCGGGGCTAATTCAACAGGTAATCCACATCTATCAGTGCCAGAGATCCAACTTTCTAAAAGAGTCGAGTATAATTATAAAACGCAGGAGATGCCTTGGCAAACCTCATTTGGGTGACTTTAGAGTGCTCTCCAGGAGATGGTTTGAAAATTTCATTTATAGAAGAATGTTATAGCCAGATTATTCATTGGGCCTGTCTCTGGGATCAGGAGATTCTCCTGTGGCTTCCAATCACTCATCAGGCTTTGGGATTCAAAGTGCTGGCAAAAATATTTAAAATGTGTCCGGGTTCAGAAGCCTGATCTTTAGCGGATCATCTTTTTCCAAATAAGCTTTCTCATTCAAGTAGAGGCAGCAGATCAGGGCTACAAAACTCCAGGCAAAGACTAGATAGCAGCGAAGACCTACAGGAATAGAGACCCAGGCCCTTCCCTGTCATCTAATCCCATTTTATTTTATTTATTTTAATATGAAATTTATTTGCTGCCCATCTCATACCCAATGACTCTGGGCGGCTTACAACATAATCTTTAAGTCTATTAAACTGGCTGTATGCCCCAAATCATGCCATCATATTAGTCAATCATGAATAAATCAAGCCACAAGGAAAATATCGGAGAAAGGTGGAATCAGGAGTGAAACATTAATATTTCACTGTATGTCAAAATCTAACCCAAAACCCCAATACCTGGTTGCAGTGGATCTTCAATATACAACATGGATGGTCTGTAACCATCTAGCATATTCTTCTGAACTTCATCCTTGGCTACGTAGGAACCCCCATCCTTGATTCGGATCCCTGTTTTCAGGTAGTTGAAATGACGGCCGTATAGTTCAAAAAATTCTATTAAAAGGACGCCGTAATTGGCATTGGGGGTGCAGGCGTCCCCCCTGGGATGTAGCTGTGGAAACAAGCAAAAGGGGTTGAGAAAACCCAACTTCAATTTTCTGGACCATCCCATTCAAAAAACATACAAAGAATGGCTGCGTGACTTGGGTTTGGCTAGTCTAAAGAAAAGAAGAAATAGTGGAGACATGATAGCAGTCTTCCAGTATTTGAGGGGCTGCCAAAAGACAGAGGGGGCCAGGTTGTTCACCAAAGCACCAGAGGGAAGGACGAGAAACAATGGTTGGAAACTGATCAAGGAGAGAAGCAACCTGGAATTAAGGAGAAACTTTCTGACAGTGAGGACAATCAACCAGTGGAACAGCTTGCCCCCAGAAATCGTGGGCGCTCCATCACTGAAGATTTTTAAGAAGAGACTGGACATTCACCTGTCTGAGACAGTGTAGGTTCTCCTACTTGAGCAGGGGGCTGGACTAGACGACCTCCAAGTTCCCTTCCAGCTGTATTCTATTCTATTCTATTCTATTCTATTCTATTCTATTCTATTCTATTCTATTCTATTCTATTCTATTCTATTCTATTCCTTGTTCTGTATTCTATTCTATTCTGTTCTGTTCTATTCTAGCTCTTATTCTATTCTAGCTCCTATTCTATTCCAGTTTCTATTCTATTCTATTCTATTCTATTCTATTCTATTTCTATTCTATTCTAACAGCTGAACGAAATCCGTGAAAAGAAAGCCTAGCCAGTGAAGAACGAGAATCCTGCACCATAAAAAGCATTTTCCAACCTCCTAGACAGGATACGTCCCACCCTCAATATAGCAATCCAGTAACTTCAAATGCTTTCAAGCCTATCTCTGCAAAATTCCTGATGGGACCCCTCTTTGTGCTCAGCTGGCAGCAGCAGCATCTGTAGCTGCCGTTCTGCGTAACTCCATCAAACTAATTCTACAACTCTATGATAGGGCTTTACACATCATGCTACACTTTTGTCATTTCTTTATTTCCCGCCTGTATTATTTTTACAAATAACTCAAGAGAGTGAACATATCCAACACGCCTTTCTCCTCCAACTGATTTTTTTTTTTTAAAAAAAAGTTTTGAATTCTGTACCATTATGAGCAGTAAGGGATATGGAACCATTGGGACACATATTCATGAACCGTCAGAAAAGAATTTTGACTTACTTGGAGGAAGCTGACAGCCATTAAAAAAAGACTGTAAGATCCAATTCCACCTGTGAATACTTCATTGAGGTCTCTTTGCAATAAGAACTGTTTCAATACTAAAACTAAATATGGCAATACAGGATATTTCTGCAAAAAAGAAAAAGAAGATGGAAATTAATTTTTTACTTCTTGTGTGTCGTCCGGTTAGAACAGTGTTTCTTAACCTCGGCCCCTTTAAGATGGGCGGACTTCAACTCCTAGAATTCCGTGGAATTCAAAGCAGAGTAACTACAGATTAGATAAGACAGGGCAACTTCATTGCAAAGTTTTTTTCTTTGACATATCTATCTATATACAGGTTGAATCGGTAAAATGTTCTCTGCCCTTCTGCCATAAAATTCTGATAATTCTAATAATTCGCCTGCAGCTCCAGGAACAAACAGTTACTGCCAAGATTAAAACAATTGGTATGCAGCATTGAAGGCCAAACTTTGCTTGCCTTTAAAAATGAAACAGAATTTGGATATGGAAATACATTTTTTAGGGAACAGGAAGGGGGAAAAAAAAATAAAGGAGAATATTTGTAGCACAGGGTTGACATGTGGGGTCCTTGGTGCCTCGTTGAGCTTGCTTGTTTTCTTGCAGATGTTTCGTGGGGGGAGGGGGGGGAAGAATCCCAAATTCTAATTTTAAAACTGTTGTGCTCTCTAGTGGATATGATGAAAAATGACAAGCATTGCTAGAGGCCTGCGCTCTGAATTATTATTTTTTTCCCTCTCTGAAATTTTCAACTGTGCCCTTTGTGAGAAGACCTGCACACCACCCCTGATGTTTTTCTTTTTCTCTATGCATATTGCAGGAGCCTGATTTATCATCTTGGTGCTCCGAAAAGGGGACCCCTTTGGTTCAACTATCTCCACTGTGAGGTCTTTGGTGGTCTCTGAGCTTGTTTGTTTTTCTTGCAGACAGCTGGTTTGAAAGAGGGATCAAAGAGGCCATCTATGTCAAAATTGAACAGCCCTCTCTCAACAGAGGGGGAGGGACACGACATCATCTATCTCCAGTCTACAGTAGTGGCCAAAATTGTGGAAACCTTTTGGGAAAAGTGTATTTTTGAGGTTTGGTGGCTAATAACACCACTTTTGTTTTGAAGCAGTACTATAAAATTATATATCAATGGAAAGATAATTTAATCAAGAATGTAATGCAACATAGATTGTTCAATTATCTGTACTGTATTCTATTATAGCCAAATAACCAGAAAAAGGAAGCACAACTTGCTTAGGTTGGTATCAGGTAGCTTTCCTTCATCTGATTGTAGCCAATGAGCGTGAGTGTTTAGGGAGCCAATCGGGTGTCATCTTGTTTTGGCCATGAGCCAATCAGATCACAGTAGGATTCAGTTATTGATGTCCTGTTTTGAAGCTGAGAGGAGGACATTTGTCAGTGTGTTGTGTGATCCTATCAAGTTGGTTGGGTTTTTTTGTGTTCTTTCATTTAGTGAGCTTGTAAAACGTAATAAAATTAAAGTAATGGTGCAAAGAGTTGACTGGTTGCCCAGAAAGCGATGTAAAATAGTATTATTAAGTGAACAAGGCTACAGTTATAAAGAAATTAGAAGAAAAATGGGTGGAAACTTAACCAAAGGTGGCATTTCTACTGTACACTTTTCCCAAAAGGTTTCCACAATTTTGGCCACTACTGTACAACACCATCCTTTCAGCAGTTCCAAGAAGGCTCCACACCCATTTGCACTACTCAGGTGACCCTGAGGACATAGATAAACCTCCAAGTGGCCTCAATGACTCTCTAAAAGAATACAAATGACCAGTTGTCTGCAAGGAGTATAAATCCTTCCATTCCCCAAGAGCTGAAGAAGCTTCTTGGATGAGAAGGGAAACATCTCTGAAGAAAAACAAGAAAGTCCAGTTGTTGCCTCTTGAAAAAGCATCTTTGAGACAACTATGACCTGGATGGCTGAGAATCTCTCCATAGACATATACAATATTGTATTGCTTAGCCAGAGAGGGTACAAACCGAAAGGAGATTGTGCAAAATGCCAAGTTCACTCTTCTTCCACCCCGCCCTAAAGGCCTGTTCTACAAGGAGATGTACAAGTATTAAGTTACAAATTAGTAGTTATGTTATGAGCTTAACTAGCTGGTGTGATTTGAAAGAAAGTCTATGTTGTCACTGTGAAAGCAAACACGTTGGTAGTGGTTTGTTTACAAATTGACTAAATGAGTCAAATGTCTTTAGCAGACTAATGAATGTCTACACCAGGGGTCTTCAAACTTGGCCCTTTTATGACTTGTGGACTTCAACTCCCAGAATTCCTCAGCCAGCGTACCTGGCTGGGGAATTCTGGGAGTTGAAGTCCACAAGTCATAAAGGGGCCAAGTTTGAAGACCCCTGGTCTACACCATCCCTATTGTACTTTTTCCCCCAAAAATTTTTGGGGGAAGGCGGGAAAGAGAGAAAGGGAGAACTTAAGATTTTGCTGGGATTACGTTCTGCTCATTCAACTGAGTGCAAAGGTAAGATTTAGCATTCCTTGTGGACTTTCCCACTCGAGAATAGAAACCCGATTTAATTTTTTAAAAAGTGAGACTCACAGGAAGAGAAGGCATTCTCAAAAACACGTTCACATCTATTGTTGCTTTCAATTACATTTTATAAGAAAAGAGGAACTAGGTTTACATTCTTCATCAACTGACCTTAATAAAATCTCTGATGAGATAGGCAGCCTTTACCCCATTTTGTACATTAAAGCTGATATCCACTTTTACTTCAGTATAGGAGTCTGTCAGTTTAATGATAGGAACCTGAAGAAAAAGAAAACAGCATCTTTGTCTTAATAAAAAAGAGTTTCCGATAAAGAATTGGTCTTAGTTCGGTACAAAACACCTTTAAAATTAAACCAAACAGAATTCAGGGATTTGACCTCTGCTCGCAAAGCTTAGATCCAAAGCTTTGATTTGAGGACAATTTGACTGAATCAGCTCTTCTAGCTGAACTACCAACTCAGTTCAGAATAATGAATAGAATTTTGCACCACGAGCCAATTTGAAAATTCAGCTGACTTTTATGTATATGCATACATACTTTTATACAACTAACACTTTGGACTGAATTACAGATTTAAACTTAATACTCTATCTGTTGCACAGAGACCATTAATACGAAGCTGAGAGAATTAAGATACAATTCCAAACTCAAAACATCTGCTTTTATACATAAACAGATAATAAGAGAAAACAAAACATTGCAGAACTGAACTATTCTTTATTCCAATGAAAAAAAGAGTGATGTTTCAAAAAAAAAAGAAGAAGAAAGGAGTTAAAATTTTAATTTAGCAGAAAGGACGGGTGCTTGCTGAATCCATATTTACTGATGTAATTTGCGCCACTGAAATAAATGTGCAGCTTCTCTCTTTGTATCCTTTACATTGGTTTATGCCAAATGATAAACTGAGACAAAAAAAGATGTAAAGCCATCAATTATATAATTATACACATGACATAACCTGAGGCAAATTATGTCAATTGTCAGGACAGATTCTGAAATAACAGGGATGTCCATTATTAAATGAATGAAGATTTGAACTGTGGCAGCCCTGTCAAATTGGGGGGGAGGGTGTCTATTCAACTGAAATTAACAGAATAACAAGAGTTGGAAGGGACCTTGGAGGTCTTCTAGTCCAATCCCCTGCTTAAGCAGGAGATCCTATACCATTTCAAACAAAGTACAGGTTGCACTGCAATATTGTTCAGAAATTTCACAGATTACATTTTAGGGGGAAAAATGACTATCTAGAATTTAAGTCAGAAACAGTGGAAGTATAACCACTTTAATAATGATTATAAAACAGACATCTGAAGTCTAAACCCAGCTCAGCCTGGAGCTAGCTCAGCCTGGAGCTAGCTACCTTACAAGGTAGCTCAGCCTGGAGCTCAAGCTACCTTACAAGGTTGCTGTATAGTGCAAAAATGGAGGAACGAAGAATGTCTATACCACTTGAGCTGGATATTTAATGAACAAAATATGCAATGCTCAAATGGTTTCGGATGATCTTGCTTGGGGTCTGTCAGACAGAACATACAGTGCATGAGAAACACCAACACAAAGGTATTTTTAAAATGATTTCTATTATAATGGTTTGGTAAGACCACACTTGGAATGTTGAATCCAGTTTTGGTCACCACTATATAAAAAAGATGTTGAGACTCTAGAAAGAGTGCAGAGAAGAGCAACATAGATGATCAGGGGACTGGAGGCTAAAACATACAAGGAACAGTTGCTGGAATTGGGTATGTCTAGTTTAATGAAGAGAAGGACGAGGGGGGACATGATAGCAGCCTTCCAATCTCTCAGGGGCTGCCCCAAAGAAGAGGCAGTCAAGCTATTCTCCAAAGCGCCTGAAGGCAGGACGAGAAGCAACGGATGGAAACTGATCAAGGAGAGAAGCAACCTAGAACTAAGGAGAAACTTCCTGACAGTGAGAACAATTAACCAGTGGAACAACCTGCCTCCAGAAGCGGTGAATGCTCCAACACTGGAAGTTTTTAAGAAGAGATTGGACAGCCATTTGTCTGAAATGGTATGGGGTCTCCTGTTTGAGCATGGGGTTGGAGTAGCAGACCTCTAAGGTCCCGGCTTGCAACTCTGTTATTTGCAAGGTAGACGTTCCACAGGAATTGACCAATCTGAGTTGAATCACCCCCCCCC